TAATCCGCTAACCAACTGAAGCATGGCTCAGAAGGATCACTTGAACATACCCCTTATTAAAAAGCAACGACTACGTTTCAGCTAATGAGATGCAAATCCATCTTTCAATAATTAATGATGAGTTCTTGAAACAAACAGCTACCAGTTTCACACTTAAGTACAACGACTCTGTAAAAATCAAGTCAAAAATATAATTCGGCCAATTTTTTCATCGCCCGAGAACTCTCAGGCAGATCATTAGAGAACTTCCTAAGAGTAAATAAATATGTAACAGTCGATAATTCAGTACAGTAAATCAAACATGAAAACTACTGGTACAATAGTTTTGTGCAATAACTCTTTTCACGGTGAACTTTTCTCATTTGCATTACAATATAATGTATTTCAACATGGATGCGAGGCAATTCCGGGCAGACACTACATAATAACTCTTTTCACGGTTAGTTTTTCTCATTTGCGGTACAATGTAATCCAACGTGGAAGCGAGGCAATCTCGGGCTAAAACTACAAAATAACGAGAAATAGGCCACGTTCGATCAATATTCTGACATGGCTCCGAGGCTTTCAGGACAAACGTTTTTTGAAATTGAGAGACAAAAGACACTTAAACTAGTGTAGCCAGAGCTATGAAAATACCGCGGAAATTTGGATGTAGTGTGCAATTTGGACTGAAGGATTGCATATTTTAAGGGACAAATATTAAGCGGCTTTATTATATGGCTAGCTCCGTGAGCGGGCAACATGAATCAAATCCTACGCTGTGACTGGCTACCCGAGTGGGCAAGATGGAGCTATCTTGCCCTCCCGAGACTACCCGCCGCGTCCCGCAAGAAAAATTTTCCCGAGAGCCATATAATAAATCCTTTATTGACCAAGTTTGTTCGGTCAAGATGGCTGGATATTGGCCTCGTTCTTCTTTTGCGAGTTTATGGACCTTGACTCTGTCTCGGTCCATAGACACGCAAAAAACGAACTTGGCCAATATCCAGCCAACTTGACCTCACATTTGGTCAATAACCCATATGTATAAAGTTTGAGCGAGCCGCTAGTAACACGGGCGTCGGAAGACGAGAAGA